CAAATACTTGAAGTTTCTCACAATCAAAAATATTATCGATATATAACTTTTTTGCAAATTACTCTTATTTCTGATATTTAACGTGTCAAAATTTATCTATAAAAAATGATGTTTAACCTCACGTTTATCATCATTGTGAAACAAAATTATCGCTCTTATGATTCGTGCGATATGAGCGTAAAATCTATAATTTCACCGAATTCACAGAAAACATATAAACTTAATGTTTGATAAGGGAAAGGAAACTTTATAAATCATCAAGATCGTAGATGTGTGCCACTAATACACCTTATGGATCAAGATCCTCCGAAAATTCCGCAGATGACGTCAGGTTTCATCAACCTCATCCAGCACATCCTCCACCTTACATTTACTATCCACCACCTTATCCTCATTTTCATCCATATTATCCATATCATCCTGGATTTTATTCACCGCATTATTACAATGATGTATCCCAAGAATCAAAAGGTTTCTCTTGGTTCAATATTGTATTACTGCTTTTTTTGTTATTGTGCATCGTTAGCATTGTTTTCTATTGGTCTCTGTCTCGCGATACACGGCGAAGATTAAACGACAGATTGCCTCCTTTAGTGCAACCAGCACAGGTAAACCTGGTTTCCGGTTGCTAGCATAATTATTGTTTTATATTTATTGTTAGTCTTCCCCGCTATCGTTACGCTATAGCGATTGTTTTGAAAGTATAAAGATTGATTAATTATGAATCGTTTCTACGTATATTAAGACGATGTTGGAAAAAAATGATCGGAGATTTTTAAAGTGTAAAGCGTACTCTTTGAACACTTTCGATTAATCTGAATCGGTGATTCAAATTTGTTAGAGCGAATCATGGTTCCGGTATCGTGGATGACTATTACTCTTTGTAACATGTTCGTTATGATAAAGAGATATAAAATTTAATGAATTTAACAAAGAAGATATATATAATAAAAACGTGACAGCACAATAAAGTAATATAAATTTATCATTCATCATTATGATATTGAAATTGAAATTTATTATTATTTTTACAAGATTTTTAAATATACGTTAAATGCTCTATAAATTTTGAATCCTTTCTCTGATCATTCTAAAATCCTTCCAACTGTCTGTTAATTATAATGATAATATAATGATTAACATATAATAATGAAATAGAGATTTGAATGAATAATGAACGTGAAAATTAAATTTTCAATTGATTTGAAAAAAACATAACTTGAAAAACGGAAACAGTATTTAAAAAAATTAATAATGAATAATAAGCAGAGAATATGAATATTCAAGATTATATTCGCGGGGATAGGATCCTTTAAAAAAGCGATTTTAATTGGCAGCTACAAACAATGATCTTTCTGAACTTGTAGACTGCGAAGAGAAGAAAAGATGCAAAACAGAATTATCCTGCTGAATTTGTTCTATATTCTGATATAAATGATGCACTCGATAGAGATTATGATGTTTTTTGCGAAGGATGTGATGATTCCCTATCAACTTCTACGTCGAGTAAATATCAGAAGCATTCCATTTACAAAGGGAACGAAAGTAAGAATGAAGATATCATAGAATTTTCATCAGGAAAAAAAAAAAGTTAATGATGCTACAGATGACGCATTTATGAATGAAGTTACTCGATCAGTTGCCTCTTAGAATTGAATTTTTTAAAATTGAAAAAAAATGAAGAAATAATATATAAATTTAATAACTAATAAATTTTAATAAAAATATAGTACAAATTTAGTAAAAATTAAATAACTAAAATTTAATGAAAACTAAGAAATATTCGATTTTGATATTCCATTTTTTACTCATTCATGATATTATAAATTTATGAACGTGAAATTAATTATTATGATAGTTTCTGAAAAAAAATTTTACGATTATGAATAATTGAATGAATTGCGTAAAAAATAAGGTAATATATTTTATTAAGACATAATTTTTTATTTAAGATAGATTCGATTCCATTACCAATTCTATTACCTATGTATTGAATTGCATATTGTTCATTGATATATTTATTACAGGTTTACTATGATAATATATTATTAATGAAGATGAATTATGAATCATATATAGAAAAATCAAAATACTGATGAAATACTATTAAATTTGTTGGATAAAAAAGAATTTTAAATATTATTTTTCCTTTGCAATTATCATTTATATTATCACAAATATATTATTATATTGAATATAAAAATAATTTTAGATGTTCTATTATCAATGTGCATATTTTTATAACATAAATATATATAAATTATTTATTTTTACAACAAATAAATTATTTATTTTTATAATAGCATGAAATGAAAAGTATTGGTTTTAAAATAGTATGCCTTTTTAAATCTGCATCTATAATTTTGCATCATAATTCTTTAAATCTTAAATAAAAAATTACACATATATTGTATTAAATTATTGATAATTTTTCGATTTTTATTTTATAATCGAATAAATCATTAATATTATTGTATTTATTGTAATCACAATATTATTGCATTCTGTTACATAATATTTATTCTTAATTATTCACAAAAAAGAAATATATTTATAAATAAATTAAGAAAACATATAGAATAAATAAATACAAATGTTACAATTATAAAACATAATATAAATAATAATGTATTATAAAAACTTTTTTATTAATTTATTAATATATTAGTATTTACTATATATATTAGTAAATAAATACGTATATACCATATGTATATATCATTTTTTGGATAATTGGATAAACAAATGCAACGCAAACATGATATAAAAATACGATCAGCAATGCAAGATGATAAAATTGATTAGTCATAACATAGATTGATAAACAAAATAAATTACTCAAATATTCAAAAAAATCATAAAAATTAATAAGTTTAGAGTGAAAACTGCATGGTTAATATAATATCTAGATAAAGTATGACATGTTCTAAATTTTCTGAAGGATTTATTGAATGGAAAGGTTGGCCTTTTTTTAATTTCTTCATTCTTCTCATTATAATTGATTATTTTGAAATTTACTTTTTATAAAAAATTAAATATAATGAATTCTAATTCAAGAATCATATGAAATATTTCAAATCAGTCATCACATATATTTTACATGATATTTTATATAATCCTATTTGAAGCTTTCTTAGATTCACTGAGCTTATATATATAATTCTAAAAAAATTATTTATTTTGAAAAAATAAAAATAAATCATATATAATATATTATCTTTATTTTTATTTTTACATATTTGAAATGCTAATTCTTAGTTATATTAATACATATAAATGATTTTTTTTTACTTTTTCATGAAAATTGCTTTTAGTTATACATACAAATGTTTTTTTAGATAATTTTAATTTTAAAACATGAAATATCGATAGTTGTATAAACCAAGCACTGTGAAATGATCAGGGGCGTATCTTCGTGTATTTTTCAAAATTATCACTTTATATGGATTAGTTGATAATGAAATAAATATATATTATTAGTTGAAAAAATATTCTTGATATTTATAATATAAATATAATAACAATATATGTGTACAATTGTAATATATAATATAAAGTATTTTGTTAATTATTAATTAAATAATTAATAAAATAAAAAAATTTTTTTCGAAGATATATAATATATGATAAATATATATAATAAAAAAATTAAAATTCTCTAATTCATTAATAGGAGAACACATTAAGAGGAAACTAATTTAATTTTTAAATAAATTTTTAAAATATGCGTAAGAATAAACGAATGATCAAAACATGTAACATATCACGTATGATACATGTGATATAGTGGAGTTAGTCGATACGTAGTATGGAGTGCACAAATAGCCTCTCGGTTACTCCCAGCTTACAGTGGGCGATTGAGACGAACGATTATATTCGAAGTACGCCCAAAGAAACGGATGTGCGCGTAGTGTTGTGTTTCTCTTTGTACATATTAGATTATTCGCGCTTTTATTCTTCAAATTCGCAATTTTATAGTAAGCGCATGAAATTTTGAGGTTAGGTTGTTAGTGACGATAATATTGTTCATAAAGAAGGATGAATAGAGAACCGGCGTGCTTGCACGTCGTTCTAACGGAATAATCTTTTATATCGGATTAGTTAAAGAGGATGACGAGTCTACCTGATACAGGCGTGACATGAAACATCACGAATTAGAATGGATTTGAACAATTATGATGATCAATCAGACACAGGTGCGATCGAACGTTACGATCATGATAATCGAATAACTTCCGGGGAGGGGCTGTCTCCTGGACCTGGAGCCGGCCTCGAATATGATTTGTGGGAAGGCCAGTTTCAATTTGTCGGACAACCGTCCTCTCGCGGTAGTCGACTACCTCGTCGTCGTGGTCCTCGGCTTACCGAACAAGTAAGACAATATACCGAGATCATAAGATTTTTTCTTTATGATTATAATAACATGATATTAAATATAAATATGTTTCGTTGCAATTAAATTAATGATAATGTTTAAAGCATTTATAATAATTATATAAATTTATCTTACTACGTTATGATTATTGTAATCTTTTATTAAGTATTGATATATTGTCTTATTTGATAATAGAAAAGTAAATAACTATAATAAAAAAAATAAATAAAATATACAAACTTTTATATATAATATGATAAACTATAAATAAACTATAATCTCTTATCATTTTTAGTTTGAAAAGATTAATAGATATATGAAATCAATAAGTATTATTTTCTAATTCAATAAATATGGACAATTGACAAGTATAAAAAAAAAAATATTTTATTGTTATCATTAAATTCTCCATTTTAATTGAATTTAAATTTTAATTACTCAATCTGCATATTATATAATCTTTATTTACACTTCATATTAAATATAGATATGAAAATAATATTTATTTTGTTATAATTTATATTCTAAAATTGATATTTCAATTCTTGTTTAGATTTTGAATTTTATATAAATTTTATTTTAATGATATTTAAACAATAATTTATTAAAATAAAAAATTATTTAAAGAATAATATTAGTCATATTTTATATAAGTTTATTTTATATAAGTCATTGCAAGATAAATTCACATTAAATATACATCTATGTTTGAAATTCTACTATTAAAAGTAAACTATTTATTGAACATACAGTATGAGCTAATTGTAAATCTACAAAGACAAATTATTATTTGAATCTACATATGAAGATTATAATTTCATTAATAATTATATAATTTTATTATGAGAACAGTATCAAATAATGTTATAAATATATACATATTATATATTATAAATATGCATTATTTGAGAATTATTGTTTTATGAAGTCCTATAGTATGAACTCGCACAAGCGCAAATTTTTAAACGAAAAATTATTGTATTCTTTATAGAATCGTAATTCTTATCTATCGTAATTTCTTTATAGAAACTTCTTTATTATATTACTGTTTTATATCTATTAAAATATATATATTTTCTAACATATAATTATATAATACACGTATCAATTAAATACAAATAGAAAGATATGTAATTTTAATATACGATATATTTTTTTCAGGTTCAAATGATTCAAGAACAAATGCATGCTTTTCAATCGGTCGGAGAAGAACGATATGTTAGAGCAAAACAAGAAAATGCTACGTTACAGGCGAGAATATTAATGTTAGAAGAAGCTGCCAAAGATGCTGAAACTAGAGCCGAAGAAAGACTTCAAGTAATTTTCATTAAATAAGTATTTATTGTATATTATATTTTTTTCTTCATTCATCGATAATGTAGTAAATAATAGTTTTGTTTTCTTATTGTTTTATCTTATAATATAATTGTTAATTTTATTTGTAAAATTAATATATATAAAACATATAATATATTATATTTTAGGCGGAACAACGAAGACATAGAGATTGGGCAAGTCGTTTAGAACGCGAACGTCAATTGCAATTAGAAAATTATGCTATCAAATTACAAGCAATAGAATTAGAAGAAACTAGTTTAAGAGATGAAATAGCAAGGTTACGCGAGCAACTCGAAAAAGTTAAAATAGAGAAAAATCGATTAGAAAACGATCTCGAAGAAGCTAGAAGAGAAATAGATAGCGCTCATGAAAGTGAACGGCAAGCAATAAGTCGAGCAAACGAAGCTCATTATCAACTTAAAGCTGTTAAAGAAGAATTGACTATGAAAATTGAAGATCAACAAAAAATAGAAGAATTAATGCAACAAGTAGCACAACTTCAAGCTTGTAATAAAAGTATATATATTTTTTAATTTATAAATATTTATAAATATTTTTACAATTAATAAAGTTATTATTAATAAAGTTTATTTGTGATAATATTATTATATAAAAAATATATTTTTTTTTTAAGGTTTAGAAGAATCACGAGATGAATTGCAAGCTGCAGCGGCTCTGCAGGCAGGCCGTGAACTTTTAATGTTAAATCCTTGTAATAATTCTGCTGAAAAAGGACCTAGTCTCGCTGTAGAATTACTAGCTGGCATGAATCAAGATCAGGTATATTATAGTTCTTATTTTTTTAGAAAATATAATTCTGAATATATCTATTTCATTCTCTTTCTTTTGTTGTTTCGGTTTACTACAGATAGACGGTCAACTTTCTGGAGATAATGGTGAACCTTGTAATATATCTGAAGTATGTGTTAAATTTTAATTGTGCATTAATATATGCTAATATATTACAAACGTAGCATTAATATATGAGTCTCAAATCAATTTAAATTTAAAGATCAAAACAAACACAATAAATAATATATAAAATTGTTCATCGAGATTTATTTATTGAGTTATACGCAATTTAAATTTATATTAGAAAAAATGAACTGGCATCAAAAATAAAATTGTGTTCGTTTTGAAGAATTTATTTATTTTAAAAAAATTCCATTTTATATTATTCAAATTTAATTATATTGATTATCATATCATTTCAAATCATTACAGATAAAACAAGCTTTAAAGGAACAACAAGAAGTCAATACACAATTAAGAGCATACATTGATGGAATTCTATTAAACATAGTTGAAAATTATCCCCAGTTGTTAGAAGTGAAACAAACTCATTGAAACTATTATATGAATAGTTATTAAATTTAATGTTAATTGTTCCAGGCAATTGTACATTACTTTGTTGAAATTTTTAATTATTTATAAATTTATATAAATAATTTTGTCTAGTTAGCTTTATACAAGTACCATATAGGAAAGCAATTTCCGTCCATGTGAACTTAAAATTTTATTATATTATGATAGATAATATGTAAAAATTTTCACTGCCAAAATTATTACTTCGGTTATACTTAATACTAGTAATAATTTTTGGTATATTTTTAATATTAAAGGCAGTGAATTGATAAAAAAATTAAAATAAATTCTATATCGTTCGAATTTTAAAATTCGAGGCCTTAAAATGTTGCCTTTATAATAACGATAAAAAATTATTATTCTTAATAATAGAAAAATGAGAAATAGTAAATATGTAATGATGTATTATTTATTACACATAAAATTACTAACATTTCTTCTTGTAAGAAAATAAATTAATGAAAAATAGTTAAAAATTTTTAGTAAATATCCAAATGTATAATTGCATTTTGATATTATAAAAATTTATTTTAACAAAAGTACCTACAAAATTTAATGTTAAATATTTTCACTTAATAGTTTATAGTATATCTTAAAAATTAATGAATGATGTTGAGAGTGTAATTAAATAATTATATTTTATTATCTCTTTCTCTTTCTCCCTCTCTCTTTACAGTTCCAATCTATTTATAAATTTCATAAATTTTTAAAAATCAAAGATGATATATATGTTAAAAAATGTCTGAATAAAGTATTGTTGAATTATTGAAATTTTGAATATTTAAAAAATTGTTATTATCAATCTTGTAATATCAATGTGATCAATATTGATTTTTTTATATTGTATCGAAGAGAGAAAAAGAAAAAAAAGATTGTTTATATAATAGTTTTTATAATCATTATTAAAAAAAAATATAACAAATTAGGTACTAATCAAATTTAGTTATTTTGTACATAATTGTTAGATACATTTTTACATGAAATGAAATAATAAAAAAATTTTAAACAAAATGTAATGTATTTCTTAAATTATTGTGTAAATAAAAAATGAATGAAAAGTTCATAATGAACATGCTATGCTATATTTGTATAATTTTATTCAATACATTTATGATTCTTTTATATTTATATATTTTTTTTCGTTTTCTTTATGTATATAAAATATATATTTTACTATAAAATTAAAAAATAATATAATTATACAATATATAGAATATCATAAAGCAAATTTAATATTATTATATTAATAGTTTATATTTATTTAAAATATTTTACAATGTTAGTAATTTAATTGAAACAAGCTAAAATGAAATTGTAAAGAATTAAACTTGTATTATTTATATTTTTTTATTTCTTACAAAGTCAATATCAAAATTTTTATATTTTTTATAATGAGAAATAATTTTTTTTTTTAATTTTATATTTTTTAATGATTATAATTAGAGAAAATAAATTATTTTTTGATTCTTGTCTTAATAATATGATAAATAATTGTCTTTTAAAATCTATGATTCAAATTATTAGAATTATTTTTTATTATATTAAGCACTATCCAGTTATATTTAATAAAAGTTCAAATGTTAACTTTTTATATCTTCATTTTTCATTGTGAAATCAAAAGGTTATACATTATCAAAAATAGTTAAAAATCATCAAAATTACCAATAAAAGTTTTCGTTATATCTTCATTATAATTAAAAATAAGATTTGATTTAATATAATTAAACTCTTTCTTTAATATAACACAGCAATTTTTTATTTCATCAATGTTATATCAATTTTATTTTTCTTTATAAATATTTCTTAATATTATTTACATGTACTATTAAAGAATGATACATAATGAAATATTATAATTAACTTTATATAACTATAAGGTATGATTATGACAACAATCACCATCACCATAAATCTATAACATATAGAACTATTACTTAATATAAATTTAAATCCAGAATCCACGGATTATACAATTATCGTTATCAGTTATAAGATATTAAACTTCTGCTTCAAATTGTTACTGATTAATAAAATGATTGATCACAAAATAAAATTTCAGTCAAAGATAAGATATTACAATATCATAGAAATTACTCAAATTTCCTTTATGATGATTAAATAACAGCAAATATATTTAAAAAATAAAATTGAATTAATAACTTATGTTAAATTAAAATTTGTAAATTATATTACTAATTTGATATAAGATATTATCAAATAGAATTAATTTTAAAATATGCTTTAAGTATGCCTTTCTTAAGTTATTTTATAGTTAATGGGATTATAGAATCGGATAGTCGAAACAACAGGAAATATGGCGGCATTGCGCCGAGTACGAAGGTGAATTTGTATAAACTAACATTTGTTTTTGATTATTACTTGATCAAATAAAAAAGACAACATTGTAATGAAAGTGTGTAATGTTTTGTGATAAGATGTGTAGTGTTTTGTGACGAAAATAACAGCCCCTTGTGGCTGAATCGGATTTTTTGGTGTTGGATTATCGTCACACGAGACAAATAATTGGAAGTGCCCTCGAGGTGGCAGGTACGCAATTCAGAAACATACCCTTAAAAACATTACTATGTTATTCTCATATCATTTTTTTATATTATTTAAGAATAAAAGTATTAATTATTGTATTATTTATATATTATATTATTAAAAAATTTTGATGTTATTATTCCGAAACAGTGAATCGTTTACGACCTGAATCGGGTGTGTTCCCTGTTGTCATCAATAGGACATTGACTCTTAGGATATTGCCCTCGTTCGACCTTTAATTGTTTCTACAAATACAAAATAAAATTAAATAAAATTATTTAAATTTTTATATTATATTGAAATTAATATTCATATTAATAATTTACAAATTCAAATTAAACAGGATGATAATATATTGAAAATTTTAGATAATTAAATATCAACTAAATCGAACTGTATTTTCAATATCAATAATAATTTATATTTTTTATATATAAACAATATAATCAATCATATATTATTGACATAGATTATTATGCTATTGATTAGCTATTTATTAAAGTAACTATTTTGGTAATGACCATGAATAAATATTTCATTTTTTGTTCAAAAATAAAATTAACTAAATTTTAATCAATAATTGTCGAATATTATATTCAATACTATACATATTTATATTGTCATATAAATTGAATAAAATATACTTGAATGACACTTACAATTAGTATGAAGTATGAGAAAATCTTCACATTCTATTTTATTAAATGTTTATCGAAATTTTTTTTTTGTTATACAAAATGTGATGCATGATTTATTGCTAATTTTGAATTTGAAAATGATAAAAATTCTAAGAAAAGAAAAATTATGAAAATAATTAATTATATTGATTGTGATAAAAAATAATAGAACATGAGTTACACACGTGTACATACATATGCTAGATATGTTAGTGATATATAGGTCAAGCACTTCTCAACATCGAGGTCATTGCCCCAGGATTTACTCTGTCGATAAAACAGTTGTTAATTGACTAAATTCGTTCTATTACATACGATTCGACGATAGAGGTCACTATTATATTTAGATATTTATAATTTATCTTTTTTTTTAAACGCAATTTATATGTTTACATAGAAATGAAATATATAGTTTTTAATGTACATTCACATAAAATGCAGTAAAAATGCATGCTTATCAATTAATAATATATTATTATTTTCTTTTTTAAATTATCAATGATTGTTTTTTTTTAAATTAAAAACATATAAATTTTAATCTAAATTTAATATAATATTTTCAACTTATTAATCTTGCAGATAAATAAGATTTCGAACAAATGTTGTTATAATTTACGAATATTATTTAATATATATTAAATATTATTTAATATGTTTAATATTGTATTAATATATTTTTATTCGTATGTCGAAAATTGTCGAATCATCTAGTGAATTTATTAATATCAGATAAGTATGATTAATGCTTCAATTTATATATATTTAATCTTAGAAAACATTTATTGTTAGAGACAGAGCAGAGTGACCTTGAATCCAAAAACATTACGTTAAACATAATTGTCATTAATTGTTATTTCCTATTTTTTAGCAAAAAATTTTATATATATATATATATATATATA